GCCGGAACGTAAAACGGCCGAAACGTTGTGATAAATATGGCGACAAAGATGAGGACAATAGTCCGAATAATGTAAATAATGTCCAGAAATATAGACAGACTCTAAATGCCTATAGTTGAGCATGAAAAAGTAACTGACTGAGGAATCCATAAAAGCCGGCAGATTTTGTTTTTGGGGGCGAGAAGGATTACCCACGGCGAGGAGTATGTGTGAACGAGCCAGCGGTGAGGTTCAAGGACAAAGACAAATTTAAATAGACGTTCATAAATATTCATCAGCTTAACTGGAAAGTCGAGGTAAATTATGGAGGATGTTAAGTGACGTCATTTAATGCTTACTAAAGGAAAGGGAATAAATGATGTTGATATTTTTTATGCAATTAATATTATTTTAGTAATATTATTTTAGTATGGGATAAATTTATGTATTTGTCGTATCGGTGAATGACAATCCCAGCAAAAGTCGAGAAATCTTCCCCAGTTTTCTTTTTAAGGTTTAATCATTGCCATCTTGTGTTTAAAAGAACTTTACCCCAATTTTTTTCCAGAATTAAGACAGTTTCCTTGAAAGACACTTCCCCCAGGCTTTCTCAGAAGTATGTAATTTGCATGCTTTTCGTGTTCACTTGGACCAAAATTTCTAAGCAACAGATATATTTTCTTTTCGTCTGACCATGTAGCGCAATCTTTTTGAAAGACCTCTTCATAACGGTGAAAATACGCCACAAAAGTTGCCTCCGCCACAGGACTGTACTTAAATTCGCCAGTTGAATTTATTACCGAAGTTTGAGAAAAAGAATTTTCATTTCATTACGTTGCTCTTTTTTCCTTTTTTAACCCTAACAATTCGAAGATTTTTTTTTCGAACCGTTCGTTTTGTTTCTCAAAGCGTTCCCGGTCCAAACATCGTTGTTCCTCCAACTGTTCGTTTTGTTTCTATTGGATATTCATAAATTCCAACATGGCTTCTTTAAAATCCTCCATGTTTCTTTATACAGACAAAATTTAATTTAGCAACCAGACAAAATTCTTACTTGTTTTTACACGCACAACTTGGAAGTTGGTTAGTCACCAAACAATTTCTTGGTATATGGCTATAAGTTTTTTACACTTCAATTCTTGGCCCGTGTTGGTATTAATATTCGAATTTTTCGTTGTTAAATGTTGGTATCCGCTGTAAATTTCGAACCCCTCGTCGCCAAATATTGTATCGTGCAATGGATAAGTTGATACACAGATTCTGTTCAACTTTGGTATTTACCCGAAGCCTCCCCACAAGGCGGGATGTGGCACAAGGCGTGAGGCATTCCAAGCGCGTACTCTCGGGCAAAAATTTCCCCGTAGACCTCGCATACACGATGTCGCGTGGCTGTCTACCACCGCAGACGAGACTGTGCTTCGGCATAGACTCGTCGTAATCGACCAGAAGTTATATTCAACTTCCACTCTCTCAGTAAGAGAGCGTGCTATTTATCTTTTTAGATCAGTCCATCTTGTGGGGGTGTTCCGGTCCTCCACAACGGTATTATACATTTTTTTTTTAAATAACAGGAGGTTATGAATTTAACCATTTTTTTTTTTGATTTTTTAACATTTTTATAGTTATGTATTTGGGTTTGGAATAGAGGTAATTCTTGCAGGAATGCAGATATTGAAAAAAATCCGGGCGCAGTTTTATATTTTGATAAGATTCGATAGCAGCACTCTCGATAATTTTCCGTCTAAGTAAGTTACTTTCTCTTTAAATAAGTGTGGCATTCTTTAGATAAAGTTATATATATATATATATATATATATATATATATATATATATATATATATATATATAGGCGCGTGTGTGTGTGTAAAACACCGATTTTTCGTCAATTACTTTTCCCATGATTCTTCCAATCGGGTTAAAATTCTAAGCGTGCTACACATATCAGAATACTGTAAAATTCATTTTACCATTATGGAGAACATTTCAGTCTATTCTGGAGTTGGACGGCCGTGTAGGAATAATGTTTCCAGCGTACCAATAAATACTGCGCTCTTTTGAAGGTTAAACATGGCCTCACTTTTCCTGAAGCCTATATTAAATGTGGCAAATTTTGGCAAGCCTGAAGCCATTTGAAGTTAATGAGAAATACACTGTCAGATTTTATTATGCAAGTCAATGTTTTCACAATAAAATTGTTTTAACCAACCGATGTTCTTGAAACTTTCCGTGTGTACTTCTAAATTCAGCTTATTATATTTCTTTCTTTTATTAAATTTCTTGTAATATTTAAAAAAATCCATAACACCTTATTTGATGTTACGTGATAGATAATTCAACTCAAAGGCTGTTAATAAATATATAATTAATGTCTCAGTTATTAGTGTTTCAGTTCTACAAATATTGCTAAGGGTCGTAAGACAGAAACTCTAATGAGAAACAAAATATTGTAAAATTATTAAAAGATCGGCATACAACGTTGAGTATTGCAAAAAGTTAACCAGAGATTAAAAAGAAATGAAGGCGGATTGACCAGCAAGAAAAATTTAAAGAAACTGGTGTTAAGAAATGATGTGGAATATTAAGAACATTGGCTGAAGGCATGAAAGCAACAAAACTATCACAAAGAGAAACCTACAAGTTGGGTGAATAAGTACATGAAAACCGAATTATCAACAATAAATTTTAGTGATGAATGTAGAGCTACATTGGATGGAGCTGATGGCTGGGTTTGAGGGAGGTTAGATCCACCATGGAAATAGTCAAGCAACACAATTTAGTGGTGAAGTGGAGTAATGTTTTGGGCTCTTGATATAAACAGTAGAAGTATAGGTCCCTCTAAATTTGATGAGGGTCTCAAGATAAATGAAAATAATTATGATAAGTGGTTAAACAAAATGTTTTTTGTGCCGTACAGGTTGCAACTAAAAGCTTTATGCTAAAGAGCATATTCATGCGTTTTCATATTTTGCAAAGCTAACTGTTGCCCATCTTTCCCGAAAAGGTTTCAAAAGCACCAAATTGATGAAATGACCATCAAACTTGTAGTCAGTCATCAAAAAAGAATGGAAAACAATATTCAAGCAAAGATCCATGAGAGCCACAAAACTGCTGTAAATAATGCTGAAGTCAAAATAATAGAAAAGTTAATAAAATCAATGTCTGAAAGGCTGATGAAGATTAAAGAACCTCAGTGAATGAATGGCTTGAAGACTGAGTTCAAGCATGAAACCGACTGTTGCCACTCGGTGTTGATTCCAGTGTCCACTCTTGTATTTGCACATGCTCTATCTCTGATAATGAACACTTTTACACTTTTACCCATAAATATTGCATATCTTAAAAAACGATAATTTTTATCACATATATATATATATATATAATTATATCTCTCTCATATATATATATATATATATATATATATATATATATATATATATATATATATGAAAAGAAAATATATATGAAAAACAAACAAAAATCCTTATATACAATTATGCTGTTTTAATGTTAATATGTCAACGTCGGACGTTTCGGTCTAATAAACCATCTTCAGGACATATTCATAAATAAAGATGGTTTATTAGACCGAAAAACGTACGACGTTGACTTATTAACATTAAAACAGTATAAATTGTATATAAGGATTTTTGTTTGTTTTTTCCGTATATATTTTTCTTCATACTGTCGGATCTATATCCATATATTTTTTACATATATATATATATATATATATATATATATATATATATATATATATGAGGTCATAATGAAAAATATATATATATACTTTGCATATGCACAAATATGTATTCCTCCATTTCTATGTAAATCTGTCTCACAAATAATAGATCTGCCCGTATTTGTACATGTTAAAAGAAAGACGCACAAAGTGAACAGCCATTACATCGATCTATATCAATTCATACGTAACTTAACCCAAGTGTAATGATAGTTATTATAGCTCTAACTTTTCATTGCATTACTCTATGATATCTAGACTTTATGAATTTACAGTCAGTACTTGCTTGGCGGTAAGGTCTCATCATTTTACAGTTGAAATGGCTAGATGTAATAGTTTCTTCTGTTGCACTTCTGGCTTGTGGAACTGTCTTCCGGCTTCTTGCTTCCCAGTCAACTCTGATCTTCAAAAAATTAATTCAGTGTCAATCGTTATCTTGTCTTTTTCATTCTTGTTCTTTTATTGTTATATCTCCATAATATTTTTTCTCATATTCTCTAACACTCAGTAAACCTTTGCATCTTATTGGCTTTATTGCTTCGTTTGGGGTGAAATGATTAAAAAAAGAAAATATATTTCGACCAACCTTTCTGAATATGGTAATCTGTTCATGCTATGTTTGCGTCATAGCTTTCCGTTTCTATCTATCTATCTATCTATCTATCTATCTATCTATCTATCTATGTATCTATCTATCTATCTAGCTAGCGAGATAGCTAGCTCTACCTTTATGCAGTTATGCATAAGAGATAAATCTGCATACATACCTACACGTATCTACATCCATCTTAGTATGTGCTTATGTATGTTTGAAACACGCATTTATATAAGCGTACAAATATACAGATACACATCTAAACACACCGTAAAATGTACAAGCAGACAATTTGACGAGCAGACGCAGAGATAAGATACTTATCTGTCTGCAAGATAAATAAAAGTCAGCCTGAATCGGACGTAAATCCCTTCACTTCCATAGTAGAAAAACGAAACATTCTTTGAGAATGAGAATTTTATGGAAAAGTCATTTCCGATTATAAAAGAAAAAGACCGAAAGCAAAAAAATGACCCAGCGCTGGAAATATTCTGGTTTAATGCCAGGTAGGCATCAGATGGAAAAGTTGTAATCGGCGCCTCTTGTAATGAGGGCAATAGAATAATAATAATAATAAGAGGAGGAGTATATGAGAATAAAGAGTGGGAGAATCCGAAATGAAAGGGAGAAAGGGAGAAGAGGATAATAGTAGAAATTAAGCGTAAATGCGAGGGACATGAGGTGAGATTAAAGTAAAATGAATACGGGGAAAGTGAAAGATAGGAAAATGAGACAAGAAGTGTTAGGGAAGGGGAATAAATTAAATTTAGAGAAGAAAGTAGATAATAAATAAGAAAAGAGAGATGGGTGGTGGAAAAGAAGAAAAATATTGGAAAATAAGAACAGAAGCAGATAAATAAGGAGCAAAGAAATAGACAAGAGGAGGGGGTGAAAATGCAAGGAGAATGTGAAGAAAGACGAAGAGAGGGAGATTGTGGGTGAAAGGAACGATAGGTGAATAGAGGAAGGAGAGAAATAGAGAATAAAAGATTTGAGAAAAAGAGAAGGACAATAGAAGAAAGGAAGTGCGAGAGAATGTAAGAAAAATATGAGAGAGATGAATGAGACTGAGGCAAGGTGAACGAGGGCGGGAGTCAGAGAAAAGAATGAAATATAAAGAAAGAGGAGGAGGAGACAAGAGGAAAAGTAAGCAATACAGAGAAATGAGATGAAGAAAGAGGGGACAGAGGAAATAGAGAGGAAGAAAGAAAGAAGTAGAGAGAGAGAGAGAGTGGACGAGTACATGGGAGAAAATGGAGAGATTATAAATGACAGAGAGAGAGAGAGAGAGAGAGAGAGGTAGAAAACAAAGTGAAAAACAAAAATAAAATAAACAATAGACTGGATAGAAAGAGAATAGGAGAGACGTGATGAAGAGAGATAGAGAGTGAAAAGAAAAATGGATATAGTGAAGAAAAAAGAGAGGGAGAGAATAAGCGATAGTGGGGAGGGAAATAGAAAGAGAATTTGTGAGAGAAAGTCGAAACAGCGTGGATGAAAAAACGTTTAAAACAGAGTGGACAGAGAGTGAATAAAAGAGAAATGATAAACAGATTTAATGTCATTAAAACGCAAGGAGTCACTGGGAGTGGATTAAGAAAACTTTAGCGAGAAGAAGAAAAGAACAGATTTCAGGAAGACAGAAAATACCGATTGAACGTGCATTTATCATACATTTTTGAAGATTGTAGGTGAAAGGGAAGCAAGAAACTGGGAGAAATTTCAACAGGTGAGAAGTGCGAGAAAAGGAACTATTAGAATAGAATATCTGGTTACCTCTATCTAGTTATCTGATTAGATAGATAAACAGACTGATATATATATATATATATATATATATATATATGATAAGATGATATATATATATATATGATATGATATGATAAGATGATATATATATATATATATATATATATATATATATATATATATATATATATATATATGATTCAGAGACTGGTAAACGCTTTCCTATTTGTTCTTTATTTTATCATCTTCTCGGATTCCGATCCATACTTGAACTGTACTTGATCATTAAGTTATATATATATATATATATATATATATATATATATATATAGATAGATAGATAGATAGAGAGAGAGAGAGAGAGAGAGAGAGAGAGAGTGAGAGCATTTATGTAATAAAGTAGAGAGATGATACGAGTAAAATCTTTTGTTCCTTCGCAGACAAAAATTCCCTCCATTTTTCCCTTCATTTTTATAGAAACGCAAAAAGAACGAATTTGACCGATTTTCTTGCTAAAATTTAAGTCAAGAGGCGCTTTTCTTTGGGGATTTTCTCAGCAGAAAATCTCAAAGACTGGTCGATATTTCCAAGGCATCAAGACATGCAGAGAGAGAAAAGGAAATAAAATGAGAGATGGGGAAAAAGGTGAGAAAAAAAGAGTAAAAAGGGGGAGAATCAAAGAAAAGAAAGAGATAGAGAGAGAGAGTGTGTGTGTGTGTGTGTGTGTGTTAGCAGAAAGAATAGTGAGGAACAGAAGATCAATGAAATAGAGAGGGAAGTAGAAGAGTGAACATAAAGAGAATGAAACTAAGGGGAGAAAGAGAGGGAGGGTGAGAGAGAGAGAGAGAGAGAAAGAAGGACTTCGTAAATACAAAAGGATGATCACAGAAAGAAAGAGAGAGAAGCGTGTGGTATGTAAGATAAGGGTGTGGTAACTTGTCAAAAAAATTCCATCTCAATGGTTAGATTGAATAATCCAACTACAGGAAGAAAAGTTTGGTCATCGATATCAGTAAAAATAGTCGATATCAGTAAAAATCAATATGTCTCTGTTTGGGTTTGAAATGTCATGGAACCAATGTTTTCAGTGAATGAAATGGAGTTAGATTTGATCATTGGAAATTGTTGTTTTTTGTAGCTCAATTGTAGCTGTTCTTATAGGGAGGGGGAGAGGAAAAAAAAGGATGCGTATTCCAGTCTCTCTAAAAGCTCATTTTTTTTTATTTCCGACCCACGCTCTCTACTAACGGCCGTAAAACGATGTTCTTAGTAAATACAATGAAAAGCTGATTAAAATAAAATGAAAGAAATCTTAGTCAAAAATGGATAATTGTTGACAATGTTTCAAGTAATAAAGAGATTAAAATAATACTAGCTTTAGTTTTGTGGAAGAAAAAAAAATAGGACACTGCTCAGCATAGGAATTAAAGCGAAATGAAGGGATTAAACGGATATTAAAGAATTTGGTAAGTTGTTGGTTAAAAGATTCTGTTCCCTTTATTTTTACATTGATCTGATAACGGGAACTGAAGCTGATTCCCATGCTTAGGAATGATGGCTCTTTTGAGCATTGAGGAACAAATTTCCCAGAGAAAAAAAAAACAAAAAAAAAAAAACTAATTGTGAGCAAAATTATCGTTTCCTCTTTTCGTTCAGATTTCGTAATTATAATCAATGTAAACATAAAATTCTTCAATAATCCTCTTTCGAGCTGATAATATGAAACAACAATAGAGAGTTGAAGAAAAACAGAAAGCAAATTGGAATGAAGGAAGAAGACATAAAAAGTAAGGAAAGAAATAATAAAAAAAGGAAGAAAGATGATAGGAAAGAAAGATAAGAAAAAATAAATGAAAACAGAGAAAAGAAACAATGTCAATGTGAAAGAAAGAAAAAAAGAAAGGTAGTAGTAGGCAATGTAATGAAAAGTAAAAAAGAAGTAAAACAGAAAAAAGTAAATAGAAACAAAGTCGGAGAAAAAGAAAAAAAGAAAGAAAGAAAGATAAGAAAAAATAAATGAAAAAGAGAGAAAAGGAAAAAGAAACAAAGTTAAAGAGAAAGAAGGAAAGAAAAATTGTTGGATGGAAATACATGAAAAAGTAAAAAAGTGCAACAGAGAAAAGTAAGTAAATAGAAACAAAGTCGGAAAAAATAAAGATAGAAAGAAAATAACAAATTAAGATAGAAGAATGAAAGAGGAGAAAGGATAAAGATAGAGAGAAAAAATGGAGAAAGACGGAGGGAAAGAAAAATGTAAGAAACAGAGAAACGCAGAGATAGAAAGAAAGAAAGAAAGAAAGAAAGAAAGAAAGAAATTTCGATCATCTTTATTACACGTTGGTCGGCATTTTTTATCCTGTTCATATGAAACTGTTTGGAAAAAGAAAATATCAACAGTAAATAAAGCTGACAAGGAAACACATGCGTGTGAAATTAGAATTCTTGAATGGTTACCATTTTGAAAGAGGACAAGCAGGAGCTTGCTCAACTTCCGGACCTTCAAGAATATCATAAATCAACCTTGTCTGTTTGTGAACGTATATCGGCATTAAGTTGCAATCTGATCTTATCTGTCAAGTGATCAACAAAGACGATCATTAATCGTTGTGAATGTGAATTAGCACGCGATCAGAAAGGAGAAATAAACCATCGTCTGCCAGGATGAACACTTGAAGAACGTCCACGGATTTAGTTTTAAAAAGGAAAAGAATCCAATTAATTTACCATGATATTTTGCTCTAAATCAAGATCAAGGTCTATGCTTACAAATAAGGGGGTGTTGAAAAGTTCTCAGCCAGATCAAATTCACAGAATATGTATTTCAATAACCGAATATCAGCAACTGGTTTCTCGAAAGGATTTGACGAGTCATCAGTCTACGTCTGGGATTTCCAAAATGTACAGTACGCCACCATTCATGGACAGCAAAAAGATTTAAGGAGCAGTGAAAAAAAAGGGGGTCGTAAGGGGGCGGCTGGCAAAAAGGAGGTGTAGAGTGTGGCATTAAAACAAGTATTTCTTTTAACAAAATCTATGACAAAATACTAAGTCATACTTAACTGCACCACAACGCATTCTACACACCTTCACTGAGTCAGAGGTGTAGAGGGAGTGAGCAAAAGAAACAAGTTGTCAACTTCCATGGCCATAATGATTTAGTTAAATCATTATCACTTTTTTGGTGATCTGATTGATCAGTGGCTGCAACTTTTCATTATGATGATACCGGGTTAGCAGTTTTCTGGTTGCTGCATTCCGACTGGTAGTAAAGAACCAGAACTCTTTGGTAGCGCTTCGATAGACTGCTCTCAGTTGCATGATATCGGGGTATGTGTAGTGCCATGTCGCGCATGGCTAGATGTCCCTGCATGTATTTCCGGTGAGCAACCCTGAGGCCACATACTTTCTGGCCAGTCCGTATTGACATAGACGATAGATAGTGGTGATTTTTTGGCCTAATTTTTTACTTCTTAAAACAAATATTTTTTATGACAAATACAATGAAAAGAAATACATGTAAACCAGTAAACAAAAAATCACCTACCGACTCAACTTTTCTTTCTCTAATATTCATTCTAGTTTCTATAGTGTTGAATATTTTGTTTTGAAACGGTATCCAGATGTCTTCGCAATTTGTGAAATTAATTTAAATTCTTTTATTGTTACCACTGAATTCTCTGTTCCAGACTATCGTTCTTTTTACCGAAAACATTCTAGCATACATGTGCTCGGTGTTTATATTTGGGAAAATTTTCCAATTGCATGAATTGTCTCTTGGGACCCCAGAAGATTCTTTCATGTGCTTTCTACTTCCGTTACTGTACTCTGTTAGCGATCTCTTTTTCCTTTATAACTCTCCTTCTTCTCATGACTGTATTATATTGAACAACATTTCTGATAATATAGAAATGCTGCTCTTACGCTATATCTATCTGCGAATATTTTTTTGTTTGGTGATTTTAATGCTCATCACGTCAAGTGGCTTAAGCATTCAAATGTTACTAATGTTGCAGGTATTCAGAGCTTTCAATTTTTCCATTGTTCAGTCACTCAGTCAAATAGTGGTTTCCCCTACTCGTTTCCCTAATAAATCTGTTCAACATTTTCTTTACTTGATTTGTTCCTTACCTCCTCGCCTAGTTCTTGTAGAGCATCATAGCTCTGTCCTCTTGGCAATTCAGATTACGCTTTTATCTATTGGTATTTCTTTTGAGTCTTCTATTAGAAAGGAACCTCCTATTCTCAAGACTTCTCTGCTACCTACGTACTGACTGGGATTAATTTCGTGACTTTATTCGATACACCCCTTAGATTGATATTCTTAACCTTCCTATTGAGAATTGTGTCACAGAGGTTTCTTCTTGGGTTAAAGCCGGCATTGATTCTTTTGATATAAATATCAAATGAAACCACAATCTTCTTGGTTCACATCAGCCCGTTCAGTCGTTTATTGGAAATTATCTTCTGTAGTTTCAGTCTTTAAGAACTCAAGCAAACCATCTGATCCTTCTAACCTCCAGGAGAGCGGCTCATTGCGCCTTTTGGGGCTAATGTTTTCCTCTGACATGAAGTGGAAAGAGTATATTGAATTATTGAATCAATTGCAAATTGCAGGAAGTTAAGAAAATGGTTTTACTATATCATACTAGACAATTTTTCTAAATAGAATCTATCTTACATATTTATAAGTCTACTATTCGTCCACGTTTTGAATATTGCTGCCACATCTGGTCTGGTGCTCCTGCTATATATATTTAGAGATTCTTAATAAAATCCAAAGAAGAATCTGCAATGATATTGCTCCTGATCTGGCATCTCGACTTCAGTCCCTTTCCAACCGCCGTAAAGTAGCTTTCCTGTATCTTTTCTATAAATACTTTCATGGTAATTATTCTGGTCTCATCATTTTACAGTTGAAATGGTTAGATATAACCGTAAGTTCTATGCTAACAGTTTCTTCAATCGCACTTCTTGCTTGCGTAAGTTTCTTTTGGCTTCTTGCTTCTCTGTCAACTTTGATCTTAAAAAATTTAAATGCAATGTCAATCGATATCTTGTCTTCTTGATATTTGTTCTTATATTATTATTTCTCCTTAATTGTAGTTTTTTCTCATATTCTCTAACACTCGTTAACCCCTTACATCCTAGTGGCTTTATTACCGTGCTGGGGTGAAATGATTGAAAAAATACAAATAGGAATTACGAGTACTTTAAAAAAAAACATTGTGGTAACAAAACACCCCATGTGTCTAAAGCAGTGTTTAGGAGCACGTTCGCCTTACAAAGAATAAAATTAACATAAAACTAAAAATTATACAAGAACTTATGGTCTTAATCTTATTTTGTTGTTTGAGTTTTGAAGTTCGAATGTTTGTCTGAATCTTGCTGACGTTATATGGAGAGGGCGCACCATATGATAGGAACACTTTGGAGCATGAATGCAGTAGGAATGCCAATTAGTTTAAATGTACTTATATATAAAAACCTTCCCGATGACATTAGATCTCAAACTTGGAATCTACGCTGACGACACTACCGTTTACACCTACCTTGATAGTAAGGCTGATCAGTCAGACAAGGTCAAAATGATAGCCGATGTAGATAACAACCTCAAGACCGTTGTTAACTGTGGGAAAAGATGGCTTGTCAATTTTAACGCCCCCAAAGCTAAACTGATCTCCATTAATCATCTGGGAGACCCCTCTCTGCCTTCCATCAGCATGGCTAATGCTATCTTCTAAGAAAGTGGCTCATTGTGCCTTCTCGGGCTAACATTCTCAACTAACATGAAGTGGAAAGACTATATTGAATCCATCGCTAGATCAAAGTCGGTTCACTGTCGAGCGAGACAATTTTTCTCTCCGGAATCTATCTTACATATCTATAAGTCTACCATTTGTCCCTGCATAGAATATTGTTGCCATATAAGGTCCGGTGCCCCTGCTATTTCCCTGGAGTTCCTAGACAAGATCCAAAGAAGAATCAGCAATATTATTGGTCCTGTTCTGGTGGCTCGGCTTCAGTTACTTGCCCACCGCCGTAAGTTTGCTTATCTGTACCTTTTTTTTATAAATATTTTCATGGTAATTGTTCGTATAAGCTTTTCGCTATGTTACCTAGACTTGTTGAATTTCAGCGCAATACTAGACTGGCGGCGAGATCTCATCAATTTACAGTTGAGCTAGCTAGATCTAGTCGTAACTACTGTTAACAGTTTCTTATCCCGCACTTCTCGCTTGTAGAAATCCTTCCTGGTTCCATGCTTTCCAGCCAACTTTAATCTGCAAAAATTTAAATGCAATGTCAATTGCTATCTATTGTCCTCCTTATTGGTCTTTTCTTTCTCCTAATTATTAATGTTTCTGTTCCTAATTCCTCCATACACTGTAACCCTTTGATTGCTAGTGGCTGTACTGCCTTGCTTCGGGTGATAGCGGTAATATATATATATATATATATATATATATATATATATATATATATATATATATATCGGTGTGTGTGTTTGCTAAGTAAACAGAGGAAATGAGCTTTGGTTACTTATAAGAAATCACCGGACCCCTGTGAAAATAGAAAGCGTAATAAAACGTGTAAGTAGAAAATTGGTTTTTGCTGTCAATATTTTTTAATCATTTCACTCCAAGCAAGGCAATAAAGCCACTAAGACTCAAGGGAAGAAAATGAGAAAACGTTAGTGAGGCGAAAAGACGATAAACGAACAATTTTCGGGATGACAGAAGATGATGATTGATATATTTAAATTTATAAATAAGATCATAGATGATAGGGAAGCGAGAAGAGACTACCACAAGCGAGAAGTGCGAAAAAAAGAAGAAACTATTAGAATAGAACTTACGGTTGAATATAGCTATTTAAACAGTAAAACCTAGTTGATAATTTAGTAGTACGCTTAAATTCATGCAGTCGAGGTGACAAAGAGGAGAGTTAATTCGAACAATTATCATGGAAATATTTATTAAAATATACACTTTAAGGCGGCGGCGGTTGGAAAGTGACTGAAGTCGTGAGGCCAGGACATTATAGACCATTCTTTGGATTTTGTTAAGAATCTCTAGATATATAGCAAAAGCATTAAACAAGACCTGGCAGCAATATTCAATGCATGGATGAATAAAAGTGTAAGATGGATTCTGGCGAGAAAAATTGTCTGGCAAGATTCAGTGAACCAACTTTCCTAGAAGCAGACCTAGCAACTGATTCAATATAATTGTTCCACTTCGTGTCAGTGAAAAACGTGAGATGAAGAAGCCGAAATGAGTTGCTCTCCTCGAGGTTAGCATCAGCCATACTGATGGAAGGCAAAAAGGGTTCATTAACAAAAATACAAAAACAAACAAAAACAACAAAAA